TGAAACTGTTACAGTGTACGCCACTGACCAAAGAAGAGGCCTCCTCGCTAACCTATCTAAAGCAGCATATCAAGAGTCTCGATCCTTCGTATCTCAGAAAGTTCCTCCGTTACTTGACCGCAGCAGAAGTCATGAGCGTGGACAAAATCACTGTCCAGTTCAACAAAGTGCGAAAAGGGTTAAGCAGAGCATTGCCCTTACGTGCAGGCCACTTCTCGAGTTACCGTATCATCAATTTACTGCTCACACAATGAACTAAGAGCATAGTTTGCAAACATTTTGGAAAGTGGTTATCTTCAGATAGATATTTTGTAAAACGGATCCATCTTACAGGTCTACTGTTAAGAAACTGAAGATGAATACATTGCCCTTTTATGGCCAGAAGATCCTTTGTTTAAACCGGGATTATGGGAAATGTATCATTTTCATGATTGTTCTTTCAAGCCTTTTTGAGCTTTAGGAACCACAAAGTCCGATATGTTTCCTTTTTGTTTATTAAATTCCATAATGTTATCCTCATGGTGGATATTCGGCCTAATTAATGATGGAACTTCCAACAATGGTCATGAACACCAACGACAATCACAATCGGTTACAATTCACGGCTGTATAATGTGAAGCCCTTTGGAGTATGTTTTACGTACAGCTTCTCCTCTTTCTGTATAAATTTATTGTTATTCTGGGATTCTGCTACCGTGGAGATTGCATTTACGACTGTAAATTATTTAGCAGGGCTACAAGTCATCGTTATTTTGTAGTGTCTTTGGAATGGTGTTTATCTGCAGATATTTTCACTGAACAGTAATTTTAGCACACCCAAGAAAAGGCAGGTTCATTAATAGACCGCATCTTTAAGACAACCTGTTAAGTTGCTTTTGTCCAGATCACAATACTAAGACATGGACAAATTAATAGCCTTGCTTTCTGAAAATCCACCCCCTTACATTATCTTTCCTCGAGAAATAATAACAAAATAAATCATGAAAAATATCGGTCAAATTTCAAGCTCCTTTTTCTAAGTAGATATCAGACCAGTGTACCTATTTGTGTACAGTAACAGACCATTGAATCAAAAGTTTACATCAAGCTACAATTGTTTCAAAACTCTTGAGTATCTCATGTATCGGCCTGGAGTCCTATACATGTAGCTTGTAAGAAAGGTTCACGATCACATTTTATACCGCTTTGTTCTTTTCATAAAAATGTTTAGATATGTTTTTGCATACTTTAGTTAGAAACATGCTCACACGTTTAATTTTATGGTATCATACTGCATGCTTCCTTGTACAGATTCACATTACTCTCCTTCGTTAGTAGGACCACTTACACTGTAATGTAGAATAGGTAAATTACGGCATTAATTGTCTAATTAACCATGAAACACATATTGGCTGACCAACAGACATACGTTTTCTAAAATCGATTCTGTCTGATTTACATTCTGCATCATTCATGTACTCAATGAAGGGAAGTGTATCGCGATATCAATTACCAAAACTATCTGGTTCAGTTTCAATCACTCTTTATCCTGAGTGTCAGAATTCTCCATTAATTAATTCCACATTTTATTCCTATTTTCTATCAGGTCAATTAATGTCAGATATTTTCTATTTCAGTGTCAGCTCCTGTGCCCAATTAATCTGAACTAAACTTTGGCATGTATTATTCACTAGACTTTCTCTTCACGTTTAATTCATCACTTTACTTCTTCAGGTTACACATCAATGACCAGGGCCATGGCTTTCTGTACTTAGGAATTTGGATGCAGTACTTTGTCCTTTTGTATTGCAGTGGAGCTTTCTTTTGTAAAGACTTGTCACAGGTTGTGTGGATAAAGAAAATAAGGCTGGAGTTCTGTGGGCGATTTGAATGTGAACAGAGCACAACTGAGTATAAATGTGATGAACAGCGATAGACAGTAGAGAACTGAGAGATGCATCATGATGATGAGGTGTGTGGGCTGAGTTGATAGTCCCTATCCCAGTGCCGTACGAGTTTTGTACTTTGGTTGTGCCATTTGCCACAGCCAGTAGCAGATTTGTCAGGCTGCTTATGAGGCAAAATTGGTTGTCAGGATCATCGTAGCGGCTGATTGACATTCCAAGATTAGAAAACTGAAGAAAACCATGGCCTTGAAGATCTGAGCTTGGCTCAAAGACTGGTTGAGTTCCGTTCCTCCTCATGCTCGATGGCTAGTTCTTGAATTCCGATGTAACCGTGGTCACAGCACACTGCAGTGAGGGTTCACATCTAAGTTGCGGAAGTGGTCCCGCAGATGTACCAGAGTCGATGATCAAGCTAGCAAGGGCAGATTCTTATCAAGGAGAGACGAACTGATATTACGTCGAACTGTATGTCAGATATTTTAAATTTGAGAGCAGACGTACACTTGCGAATTTTGACTGAAAGATCTGCTATTACATGTACATGCCTTGAACCTTTCAGGTTATTTAACCAACCTTGTTTTTTTTCTGGAGTTTATACTGACATTTGTTTAGAAGTTTTCTTGCGAATACTTATTTTCCTGGGAGGAACTTTGATTGCTAATTCTTTTATTTTGAGGTAGTTTTCAGAGCTAAAGATTTACAGCATTGTATTACAGAAATTGTAAACTAATTTTGGCTAAGTCAGTTCAAGGTCATGGTGGATTTTTCTTCTCAGACGAATATACAGGGCAGCAGCTTCGTATCCATTGCTGGGAACGTTCCATCCATTTTCCTCCATAAGAATGCATGTCACGTCAAAAATGTCACGGTCACATGGTATTGACTTTTTACTGGTGCTCTGCGTCCTGCTATTTTCGACTTCCTGCATGTTCACTTCAACAAGTTTGTCTTCTGCACCGTGGAGCTCCGGAAGAGTATATCTAAGAATTGGACGGCCCCCATTGCCGTTGGTCTTACGATCCAGTCTCATTCTGTGACTGTTCCATGATGTTAATACCCGGTCCGGGTCATCATATAAATATTAATATAAAAAAGTCAATAGGAACAAATGGTTAGGATGTGTGCCACACAATCGAGGGCAATATTCATGAAAATTGGCATCAACGTGGACTCGTGAGTGCCATCTGCAAATCCGTTTTCGATTCCAATGTTAAACATGGTATTTGTGCATCTCTTCGTTTTACAGATTCTCAACGTTTGTACCCGTGCATTATTAGATTATTTTACACCCATCAGCCTGTACCGTATGCATTTTACCATAAAATACTTTGGGGGATTTTTTTCGTGCGTTACATTGAGATAATACTGCTGGACTCAAGATTATTGTATGCTTCACCTGTACTAATCTCGAAAGGCAAAGCTGCACCAAGTTCGTATCTGACATGTCACCACTGAGCAGTCCATCCTCTTTGAGTGTATGCAAGATATCCATCCAGTATAAGTGCAGTGTTTCCTGAAAAAGCTCCTCTGGGCCTCCATCTTTTGGTTGGTTGTGCTTTTTCCATAAAGAAAGCTTTTAGGGCCTGCTGTGTTGTCGTCGTTGTTTTCTTCTTGGAAACATTTGCACCTGCTCAACGTGGCCATTTTCAGAACCCATATCTGCTCGCAGAACATGTGGGCATCCCTGTCTCGCAGCAACTGCTTCAAGGTAGTAGCCTGGTATTACTTTTGGATTATTATTGGTGATGTAGGCCTTATAACCAAATCAAGTGCCTGGAACATCCATCAATGCATCCACTGATAGCAATGCCGAAAGGCTTCAACTTATCATAGCCATCCATGTGCCACGTTTGGTTGGGCCCAGCACTTACGTAGATCCTGCATCTCAGACGGTGTCTCCTTCTTGCAGCAACACCATCGGGGTCCAGCAGTTGTTGTAGCACACGAATGGTGTTCTGGGAAACTACGAACCCTTCGTCGATGCTGCTAGAGTCCATCCAGCGGTTGCCATAGCACTGAGCTGACGTCTGTAGTTGTGTTTCAACAAATGATGCGATCTGGAGAATATCCGAATACTTTTCTCCTGTTCAATCCGTATTTCCTTAAATAACGACGTAGATGTCTCTGACTGATAACCATTCCATGGTTAAGAGCAAGGCACGAGAGTATCTCCTTCTGACTGAAACCAAGCAGAAAAAACAAAGTAATGATCTCTTGACGATCCATGTCGAAACATTTGTTTTGGACATGAATTTCAGCACTTCACATTCAAATGAAAGCACCATCAATAACATCTGACAAGGTTTATTGCCTTACCATATACTAGAGCACAAGTATATAGAGGTGTATTGCTGTTTGTGTACTGCAACGTGCTTCGACATAGTAATCCGTACGTACGAAATACTAATCCGTACGTAAGAAATAGTAATTTTTTTAACTACGTCCTAAATACACTTCCATACTGCTGACATCTTTTCAATAGGGGTCAGATTAGCGTGCAGCGGCATTGTGTGGCTCATCGCTGCGGAGGTGGAGCGCTTTTGTACGCTGTGGTAATCCACTCGCTCTCAATGCCCCAAACCGTGACATACTGTTTCAAAACGAGGCTGGATTATCTCCACTTTTGAGAGTGAAAAAATGTCGGTAATGTCCAGCAGCCTGGTCTTTTATTCCGAGTACGGTCTTTTGTTACAAGGCCCAATTCCCTTGTCCGAGTTCGGAGACCCCGGCCACGCATATAATGCATACGTGTCCGGTACCGGAATCCCCGGCAGGAAGTGGTTTTTAAGCAGATGGTGAGAAGATAGCAAAGGACCACAAGATGTACACTCTGGCTTATCGAAAAAGAAACAGAAGGACCACATATCTATACCAGGAAAGATATGGGACGGAGGGTACCCCCATTACCTGTCTAATCCCTATACACACTCTAGACTATTGTTACCTAACACATCCCCCCCCCCCGAAGTCTGTAAAGAATTCCTGAGATTCCAATCAAACAATGACCAACACAAAGGCGGGGGGGAAGGTTCTCTCCGTCCCATATCTTGCTTCAAATGTACATATCAGTCGGTCCTATGGACTGTCAAACACACACGACACTATTACGAGTGGTTTTATAGATACAATACAAATCGTGTCGCAAGCGACTTTATTAACATGTACATGTATTATGCCCAAATTAATTGTAGAAATATAGGCAATACACAGATTCTATTTAGGAAATAATAAACCTCCGTGAAACCACTAGTAAAAAAGAGAACTAATTTCAAAATCAAAAGATAAAGTAAAAGAACAAGTCTGACGATAATTCGATGAAAGATACAGATTTACATATATACACATCAGATCTAATTTGCTAAATTCTACAAAAGATGCAAACAAATGACATGACATCGTACCACACAGCCAGCTGGATTCTAGTAGAATTGTCTAGTAGCATTATGGACAAAATGGTCATTTGACCAGTGCGCAGAAATTGACGTGAATGGAATGACTTCTCACAACACTGACACTTCCTCTGAGGGATTATGCTCTGGGTGATAAAATTGTGAAAGTAAATTGGCCAACCATGGCGGGTACGGACATGGGACAACTGTCCGTTTTCTCGGAGTTTGTATATGTTAAAACTTAACGTGGTATAAAAACTTCTCAATTACTAGGTTGGCCCAAGGTAGCATTTCGTCTGACAAAACCAAAAAGGATTTAATAGGCATGTGTAGTACTGAGCTAATATAAGACAACTTCACGAGACGATAAATAAAATATGCAATTCACGTGAGGATGTGGGCACACTACTCGAGCAACTCGACTTATCTACTCATAACTTAGCATACACTACAAGAGCACTTGAGTGTCTGGGAAAGGTTCATTTATTTTACAGAATTGAACCAGGACCCAACTATCTTCACAAAGTATATCGCTATCTCCACATCCGAAATATGAGGGCATTCACTGATAAACGTAATAATAATGAAAAAAAAAACTAAGAAATGGTTTTCTAAGATTGTATGGTGACATGCTTGATTTTTTCCCACAACGCTGAATGCATATTGGAAGGTACCTCAATATGTATTTGCAATGATGGAAAAAGCTGTCACTAGTTTGAAACGAGGCAGCGGGGTACTATGAGTAACGTGAGTAATACACAATGAAGCATACTCTATATAAATTATGTAGTTTCATGATGAAATGCCCGTAACTTCTGAAAATGAAGTATCAGGTAATTCCTGTCACACGGCCACGCGTAAACAAAGTTATCCAATTAATTCCACATTACTATGCCGGGACGCAATACACAAGTGCTTATAATTTAATTTGAAGATGATGGATTGTCTTCGTGCTTGCGGTTTTACATGAGAGGGAAAAAAGTCTGTTTTGTGCAGAATTTTTAACACCTAATTCCAAAAAAATCAAGCATGCAGTTTAACAGCTTGTGCCTTTTTGGCATCAATAATAATCATTGGAACATACTAAAATGAGACACTCAATGCTAATACTTGTAAGATCACTCGCACCCATGACAGAGAGATCTCAGACTGTAAAAATGCAGGGGTCAAAACAAATTGGTACCTAATGATATACAACGGACTAATTGGAGTGTTGTGAAAGTCTAAACCAGTGGTACTGCTTTTGACAACCTTCTGGTGTTAAATATTTATATTTACAAAGCATCATGTCATTTTACATAGCTCCCCTGAAAAACAACAAAGATGCAAATGTTTTTCCACACTGCTACTGCAATTTACACAATTTTACTGCTAAAATGCAAACATGGCACCAAATATTCTTGTCCATGTGGCTGGCAGTCAGAAATAAAACAAAAACCCTGTATGTACCCCTTTATCAACAGGTACATCCTGACAAAAGGCTAAGACTGGAAGTAACAGGATGCATGGCACGCAAAGCGGAGATGCGAGGGACAGCGATAAGACTACATGTATGGAAGGATCCCACATTGAACAATTACACACAGTAGAACAAAAGACATCAGACGCAACCCTTGCTCTGCAGGCTTCTGATGAACTTGAAAATACTGATCTATTTGATGAGAGTAGCAAAAGATAGGGTTGATATTTATAGTACCAACATTGCTCCTGAAATCATCAATTACATTAATGCATAAATGGCATTTGCCCACTGTAATCAACATAATTTCATCCACTACTCAGTGCTTGATTTTTAAATGCAATGTTGGCCAAAGTGGAGTACCATTCAGTATATAAACAGATACAAAACATCTATAAAACATCTTCATGGCAGTCAATGGCTTCATATCAAACAATGGTCTGCAGCACTGAAAAGGAAAACGAGTTGAGAGGTACTAGCACTTCATTCTCAAAGTCCATCTATTAGACTACATGTATATTTCCCCCTGCTCTCTATGAAGCCATTTACTCACATGACAATTATGAAATGATTTGGCTACTGGCAAAAGCAGGGGTAATAGCAATCCTCAATAACTATTCAACAAGTTGATGCATGGCCGGTTTCTGGCTATACACATAGCATACTTGCCAACATGGAGAAGTCAGAACTCGGTATACTCATTTTACCTCACCCATGGTGAATGAAACAAGCAGCTATGCAAGAGAAGTTATTTACATGTACATACATGTATATGTAACAACTGCAAATTTGACACAGCAAACAGTACCCTCTTTTTAAAAGCAACACTCTCTTTTGACAAAACTTTTTATTTCCCCTTTATGGAAATCAGAACGTTCCAATTTTTTTTAGGTCTAAAGCAAAATCGGAACGGCTCCGAATTTGGAACAGTTGGCAGGCATGCTATAGGTCTACTGTCTATTATAATTCCTAATGACAGTTTGAAGTATGACTTATTTCCAGTCAAAAGAATTGAGTGCATCTGAAGAGCAAACAGAAATCCACATCAATTGGAGTGAAAACTCATTAGAAAGTTTTAATGTGTTAAAATGCATCTCAGGCATTTACAAATTTGGAGTCAAACTACTTTGCAGTATTAAGCCTGGACCTGGTCAAACTTCTTACACTCCTAATCATCTTTGTGGTAGACTGGACCAACGTGCATCATGTATTTCTTGATGTATTCTTTAGCTTTGTGCTTGACATTAGAGTTGACTTCCAAGTCCTCAAAATTCTTGCAGTGTTTCAGCTCCTTGTCCATGATGCCATGCGTTAACTGCAAAAAAGAAGCCAAGAAACATTGATGAATTATTCGTACTTGCTTTTAAGAACTCAATAACTGATATATGCCCTAAGTGAGGGACAAGAGAGGCATGATTTTACATAGAAAATACATGTATGTCCCTTCAGGTAGGAACTCACTGCATGCACACACAAAATTGTGCACTTTAGGCACAGAGCGCAATAAGCAGGTACAGCCCTTTTCTGCACTTAGAGTGAATAGTCTTTGCATGTGTACCAGGTATGTAAATGAGCTTGGTTGAGAACCTCCAACCCGCTTGTCTCTTCTTTGCTGAAAAAGGTGAACTTAACATAAGGCAGATAAGATTCAAATAAATGAACGATGAGAAAATCCTGGATGTTGACCTACAATGTACATGTACATATAACTTTGCAAACATCTGGTAAAATATCAAACCATATTCGTAAGTGCATCCCCAAACTTCACGATGCCAGGTGGTGACAGACAAACTGCGGTCTTTTTCCCACAGTTTGTGCATGTGCTTAGAACAGAGGTGTCAATAGAGCATAAAAATAGCTGAGAACAGCTGAAATTGCAAGCATGAAGTGCGAAAGCACATGCGGTGTAGGGTCAGGGGCATGCCTAAGGAGCCCGAGAACATTTTGGAATGTAGATGCTCCATGGTGAATTTTACAGCCTCCAGGATCAACCATTGGTCATTTTTTCTTGCAATTTATGCATATTTTAAATTCATCTTTTTCTTCATATTTTGCCTGAAACTTCCTGAAGACTAAAATGAACCAGTAATAGGTATACCAAAACTGTAAAGATCGAGGTTTGACGTGTGAATTGGTCCTTTCCCACCTGATTTGACCACATTTTCCACTTTTCAATTCTTTGTTACAAAGAATGCAGATGGCATGTCAAGGTTTTTAGATTTTCTTTTAGATTTTCAAGTAAAAAGGTTCTACACCAAATATTGAACTGGGTAAGAGGGAAAAGAAACAGAGTGCATAGGGATTTGATGGTAAATGCACAAAGGTAAATGAGCAATTATGAACTAAATATAAGACTTCGGACACTCCCAGGTTTGTAAAGTTTAAGGCGTTAAGAGAAAAGTACTCGGAAAGTACTTGGCCGAGTACTTTTTCGAGAACTTTTCAAACAGTACTCTCATAAAACTAAATCTTTATTAAACAGTGATAGTCTCAAGTCATCATTTCAATATGTAATTTTACCTTAGTGCATGCACCATCAAATGCCCATGTACTTCAGCTTTTTTCGCTCCTAAATAGTTAAATATTTGGCAAAGAACTGAAAAAGTACTCGAACACAAAACTGTTGACTGCTGCCTGTCTACGGTGGGCTGGATATATTCCATCCATGTCCATTTCCACGGATTTGTAACTTGAGGGTCAGTCATGTCAAATTGGTTGTATCCAAGTCAGAGCCTCTTTGGACAATTATGCAATTGTGTTGCACAGACAATTTGATGTGTTTATGTCCAAAACTTGTTTGAAATCTCGTACAAAAAGATGCACATAGGGCACGTAAAAACTGAATAATAATGTATGACACAAGAACTTTGCCCAGTACCAGTTGTCATGAAGTGGTCTATTGGTGAAAGCAAAAATTTACTGGTCTTATTTCAAGCTGCAAATTTACAGTGAGATATGTGCTACCACAAGTTATAGTGGAAATTATTAGTCACTACTTGCGCTGATGCAGGAACACCTGTGATGAGCCCCACTGACACATACATGTATATGAGTACTGATATTTCATTTGCAGCTAATCACAACACAATAACCGGATGGTTCCCAGGATGCTATTTACACACAAGGCTTGCACTTCCAGCTGCACTGAAGATGCCTGCAAAGATTTGTATACACTGTACGCATGTTTGTACATGTCACGTATGTACAGTAGATTCAATCCTATGCATTACAGCACTCCAGTACTGTGTTTGGTCGCAAGCGTTCATTGTTGGCAAGAGGAAGTGCAAAATATGGCCTGTCATGTCGGCAGAAAAACGGACACAAAAAACTCGGCACTTGTGCAAGAAAAAACAAGGAAATCTGCCCCCATCGATGGCAAAAAAGCAGAAAATGAAATTTGCCATACTCAACAAAAAGCGGTACTTACCTGAAGTTGAAGTTTGATTGTAGTTCTACACTGATCTTTGAAGGTGATATAAGGAATTACAAGGGAGACGATTGCACATGCGCAGACCAGACTTTAACAAATTCGGGACCGATCCAGCCCAGATCTACTTACAATTCAATGGGAGGGAGAACCTGGATGTAATTCCTTCAGAGAGCAGTGTAGAATTTCAATCAAACTTCAATTTCAGGTAAGTTTCGTTCAAGTTTTCAATTCTACACTGCCCTCTTGAGTTGTGACAACAGAATTCCATGGGACTTCAAAGCCAACTGGAGCTGTCCCATAAAAGAACAACACCTTCCCAACAAAAAACAAAGCCAAGGATAATCATGCTCCTTCTACTTTGCTTCGTTCTGTTAATTCGCAAGAACAATTTTCTTTCAGAACAACTCGGGAGAGAACACTTATTTAGCAGAGCAACTAACAAGTCCTAAAACTGAGCTCCAATAACAAAATAACAATGTGCTTCAACATGAACACAAGAGAAATGCGGAGCAGCAGAAAATTCCTCAGAACAAACTGGTTCTTACAACATGGTGTTCATGTGAAAAGCCTGGATTCACCCTGTCTTAAAGGGGCAGTACAGTGAATACATTCTTCCAACTCTGTAAATACACAGGTGTCTATCCACTGTTCTGGGACACTTGCTTCATACTCAATGGTACAACCTGTAACCGTTTCTAGAATCTCTGCATCAGAAATGATTGCTTGCCATTGTGTTACAAAGTGGTCCAGTCTTCCTGCTTGAAATTGTGTGACTTCAGAATCAATCACAGTGACACCAAAAGAGACTGAGATTTGACAGCCTACCTCACCTTGAGGTGTTGAGCTCCGGGCATTCCCATAACTGGAAGTTTCTTTCATGGCAACTCATCCCCTAGTGTATGAATGCTAAGGTGGTCTGCCCCTGTACATGCCAACACACTCTAAACGGACTGGGCCAAATCTTGATGGGCCATGTGCGTAGCCATAACCATCAAAGTGTCCAGAGTGCAAGTACAGCCTTTGTGGACCCTTGGGGTATGACTTGCCCCTGCCACTCAGTCAAAGTTGGCTGCTCTGCTTAATATCTTCAATTATTTCATCAGCCGAAAAACTGCCTTGCATATTGTTAACCAGCTTAGTGAGGTTGCATCCCGCCTTCACAACAGCTGTATGAACAGCTTGAAGTCTTTCATCAAATTTCTTTTTTGGGCCCTTCAAAAAACTCCACACTAACTCATCAACCTTAACTGTGGTCAATGCTGTACAGTTTTGTGGGTGCAGAATAGCAGCCATAGTCTTCTCAAACAAACTGTATTCCATACCTGATGTGAACACTTTGTTTACTCCTTTTGCCAACGGCAGAGCATTGACAGCCTGGTATCTTTTTGCTCAGCTATGTCCAGTTCATTCAGATATTTTGTCATATTTGGATACGGTCTCTGAATCGTCGCTAGTCCCGGGCAATGAAACCGTGGCATGATGGGCAACACTGCTATGATCAGAATCACGAACATGGCTGCCATCAGCTGTGTCATCACTGCCTCCGTTGCCATGAGAATCCTCATCAAAGGTCACCACGCATGTCCGGTGCAACCTCACCATAATCATCATAATCATATTCATCCTCGTGGTGCCAACCAGCATAGGCACTCGTGTATCATATTGCGCTGGAGAAAAATAGTCCTCGTCATGGTATGACCTTTCCCAACCAAATCTGTGCTCATGTGCTTCCTCATCTGGCAGCCTTCAGCTTACCCACTTCGTCAGTTAATTTCAGCAAGTTGGACGTTAGCAGGTTGATGTTCTCGTTTAGTTTATCGACTGCTACCTCAGTCCACTTTGTCAAGATTTTCATCACACATGTAATTTTACATGCGGGAGCACTGGTTTGCTTCTTGCTGCGTAAGCTAACATTTATTTGAGAATTTTCACCATCTTTCCCCCTTGTCTTTCGGGTCGCCATCAGCACCCTGATTATCTTTATCATTTTCACCATCCTTGGCCATCTGGCTCAGTAAAGGCAAAACCTGAAAAAATGACCCAATGTCAAAATCTTTGACTGGGCTCGAAAAAGTTTGTCTAGTCTGCTCAAGAAACGATCGCAATCTGGTCTGCGCTTGCATGATCACCTCCCAGTGAATTCTGTTATCACAACTCCAGAGGGCAGTGTAGAATTGGATATTTCACACCCCTGTTAGAACTACGAGCTTAGAACTACCGTGTATGCCTAGAACTGTACGTGCATGCCCAGAACTGGCAAAAGGACCAGTTGTCTGCCGCCATGAAACATATCAAAGTCTCACTGTGCGGAACCAAATCTAATACCACAGAAGTTAAAACCAATCCAATTGATGAAACCAAAGCCTGTATTCTTGTTACATGATTTAACAGTTTGCATGTTTAATTCAGAGTTGGCCACTTCACATCAACTTAATTTTCATTCATAATACAAGTACAGTACAAACATGATGGTAGTATTCTGAAGGAAACCAAAATGATGCTTATTGCCTTTTGGAAACCTCTTCATGTATACAGTAGTTGGTCTGGTTTAAATGGCCCTACACATGTAAGTACTGTACACTGTACATGAACTCTACACATGTAAGTACTGTACATTGTACATGAACCCTACACATGTAAGTACTGTACATTGTACATGAACCCATGAATGACTCTGACCATGTTTGTGGTGGATGTTGCTCCTACGTGGGTAAGATTTTTCTGAACTCTTGAGTCATTATCAAATGTATTTCTTTAATTCAAAGCAAATTTTCAGCTGTCAGTAATAGCCTACAGAAAATTTGGGAACCAAGAGAATGTTTGCTGTATCTGATTTTTCAGTATATTAGCACTGTAGTGTACGTTACTTAAATCATGATTCAAATCTCAAAAGGAGATTTAAATCATGATTCAAATCTCAAAAGGAGATTTACATCATAACACTTTAAAAAGCCTTTTGGGAGTTAGATTTCAATAAAATCTGGTACACCGAGTTATCCGGCACATTAACAATTTGAATTCCACAGACTAAATACACTGTTGCTACACCTTGTGATTCAGGGCAAGCTTTTGCATATCAATAACCATCTCTGGAATGAAATGGTCCCTTTGTGCCCTTCTTTTCTATTGACAACATTGTAACTTTATGTAACTATGCAAAAGCTTGCCCCAAATCACGAGGTATAGCAGTGTCTTTAGTATTGAGCATTCAAAGCATAATGTTCACATGAATTTAAATAACTCGTAAAAGGTTTATTGACTTAAATAAAATCTTAAAAGAAGAGTATGGTAAACTGGTATCGGTTTCTTGTACATATGCACTCACAGTTCCCACCACCCGGTGCTGCAAGGCTTAGAGATGTTGTATTTGCTATAGACCTATATCCCTGCAAAGACCCAAGAGACTGGGATTAGAGGCTTGGCACATCTGATCCAAATTCTATAGAGTAATCTGGACATACCTTGCGTGCTAAGTGTTTGAAGTCCTCTGTGCTAGTAATTCTTCCCACCTTACAGTCTGGTTTACGATAGGTGTTGAGGCAGCTTATCACATAATGAGACATCTGCAAAACACAACGGTTAGCATTCACTGAAATCTTTGCCTTTATGTATTACTTTTTAGGATATTTTAGAAAGTCATTAAAGTGACCTACTTCTAATGTGACTGTCAGGAAAATAACCTGAGTATCAGTCAATACAGCATGATCAAAAGAGGAAGCTTTTTTTTCCCAAGCATTTAGCTCCCTGATTGGGTATACCCTATCACATGCATGTGCTCACAAGAGCGCATTGAGCATTATGCAAGAATAACATTTGGCAAAGCTGTAGTTTATTCATGCTATAGCAGCAAGAGATAAAAGCTGTCACCCCACTTCCAATCAACGCTGAGGAGGTAAAATGAATTGCAAAGAATGAGAATAAATTGCCCAGTATTAGCCGTAAGCAATCACCAGACAAAAGCCCCTTTCACTCAAACTCTATGGTATGAACTGTACACTTCTAAGGGCTACAAACAATCAGTTCATATCATGAAATACCACACAAAACAAATTCATCAGTAGCAACTTCTCATCCCTGCATTCAATGTCCTGAGGAGCAAGCTTATAAAAACTGCACTCCATCCTTTCATGTTTTGGGCAAATCATGAAGCCTGTTGGTCAAAGAGGGTATTAACACACCCGGCAGTAATGCCCCTATACCACCGGTCCACTAGTGCTCTTCCACCAAAGTAATGCATTCCAATTCTTTTATACAGGTACTTTTGTATTAAACATATCTTCCCTCTATGGTACAGTAAACTCTCTACCTCAGGGGAATGGATAAAAAATTCAAAGTATCTGGATTTCAAGCTAATGAAAGTTCCCCAAGTCTTGCCCAGAAATACACACACAGTGCACAAGTAACCTCACTTGCCCCATGGTGGCTATTGGAGACGTTAAATATGGTTATTTCCTTACGTCCAAGAATCTTCTAAAAATCATTAGTTTGCCAAGATTTCCTGTTTTTCGTACATAAGCTTTTCTATTCTACTGATAAATAAAACAGAGCACCGAAATTGTGACAATTCTTCCATTTGGAGAACACTGTGGCAAAAAGCCTACAGCCCTGTGCTTGCGAGCTTGGCCAGGGCCAGCTGGCCAAGCCCAGGGTTATCCTGTTTGGCCACATGATCCTTCCTTTTTAACCACTTCCTGCCGGGGACTCCGGGATAGGAGATGTATGGTTTTTCATGCCCCAGCATGAAGTGGTTAACCACTTCATGCCGGGGCATTTTTCAATGTTAATGATGCTGGGCCGGCATGACTATCATTTTTCTGTTTTCAAAATCCTTCAAAAATTCATCATTTCATTTAACGGTCGTTTCTAGCCGCACCAAGTAATCTTTAGGCACTACTCTAAGTTGACAGGTGACCTTCATTGACGCCCGCATATTTCAGCCAGGCCTGCAGCCTTGTAAAAAGAGCCCAGATTGTGTGGTGTTATGTAATTTTCTTTTGTTCACAAACCGGGCAGAGTGTGCTGCTGACTTCTTTTCAATAGGGGCCAGATTAGCATGCAGCGGTGCGGTGTGGCTCGTTGCTGTGGTGGTGGAGCACTTTTGTCCCTGGTGGTAATCCGCTTGTGCTAAAAGCCCCAAACCGTGGTATACTGTTTCAAAACAAGGCTGGATTATCTCCACTATTGAGAGTGAAAAAAATGTCAGTAATTCCCAGCAGCCTGGTCTTTTGTTACGAGTATGGTCTTTGGTTTCAAGGCCCAGTTCCCTTTGTCCAATTTCGGAGACCCCGGCCACGCATATATAAATGATTACATGTATGGTAACGAAAACCCCGGCAGCAAGTGGTTAATGCATAATTTTTCAATACAGATGTAGATATGCATATAGTCATACAAAATTTCCAGTTTTCCATAGGTTTGTGGACAAACATGGATGCCCCCAGCAGGCATCAATTTGTACATGTACATGAGTCAGCACTTTAGTTTATATATATAGCTCTAGAGGACACAGACACACACATGTAAACATACATGTCGGCTATCCAAGGAAGATAGAAACTGTGCTATGTGTTGGCCGTTTTTCAATTGTGAGAGCAGTTTCCTCAACTTTGAGTTATTACCATCCATTCTAAATGTTTCCTTTATGTAAGGCAAATTTATCATGTTCAGTAAAAGTGCACAGAAAATTCAGGAGCCAAGGGGATATTCGGTGCAGTGTTCATTATAACGTCCCTTCTTTATGTCAGCGTTGCCCCAGCAAACAAGAACCCTACTTCACGGTCTGATTTGTGTTTGTCAATATTCGTGTGTTGCGTGTACCGTTCGTACCTGCAGTGTTCTATTATGTAAATAACTAATACATAAGTTAGTATAAATATTCATGTTGCCATGGTCTCCTCTCTTTATTATTTTATGCGACACTGGGTTTTTATAATGACTTTGACATGCGACTTACAGCCCACGATTTTTGAAAAAGCGCCTTTTGCTACCGATCGCCTCAGACATGACGGCCGCAATATTTTCGTTATAAGCTAAATTTCTAACCTTTTCCACCGGAAAGCCAAGTCTTGGAATGGTGAAGGTCTCCGAGAGAGTTGGGCATTTGATCTGCCAACAGACTATATGTTTGAGGTTCTGGTTTTATGAAATGTTTTGTTTTATTCCTGTTTTATAAATTTGATCTTGAGTACATGTACCACTTCCAGTTGATCTAAGTGACCACAGAGGATGCACTGTTTCCAATCAGGAACTGATTGATGGGGATTATTCTAAATATTTCTTTATAACATATGAAGTGGTCTAAATTTGCAATTTTGATTCAGTAACTTTGGAGCGATTTCATTAGGCAATAAGTATACATGCAATTATTTGTATTTAATGTTAATACTACCTCAATAGCCATTAATCCAGGAATTATTGTCCGAATGTACGTAACATTTCAGATGGCATCCAGGGCTACATGAGCCATTAGCCCTGGTGATTAAAGTGCCATACTGTCATCTCCATTGCCCAACCGATTGCCCGAGGCAGATAGGCCCGAGGCTGGCTGTAGGCAAGCTGGAACATCGATTGGCAACACCACCAAGAACCTAGCCAAGCGTGACACCGCTGACACTTTTCCCCGTTACCTACTCAGAGGTTCCAACACAAGGTTCAAGCCGACGGTTCGGGCAAGGGTACGGCCTTTGACGCGGAAAGCATATTCTACTCGCAGTGGGCCCTACATAGATGAGTATTTTTTTTTTATCTGATTGCCGCCTTTAGTAAGGTTTTCAAAATTAATACTGAAGGATTAGAATTAAGTCGATAGCGAAGGGTTAAATAAACTAATTAATTGTAATTTTCTTTATTTCTTACAACCAAGAAGTAATTGCAGGAGCCATGTAAATTTCTTCCAGTTTTATATCTTGCTTCGTTTTCCAAACATGGACTATCATAGACTTAATTTCGGTCTCATGTGAAATGCTCCATTATTGACTTTTGTAAATATTTGTAGATACTAATAGAGAATTATTTGGATTTTTTTGTTGTACCATAGTATTTAGTTGTAAGATATATGTTATAATAAATTTATTTAAATTTAATAGAAGATTTATATTTGAATCCTTTGTGTCTGCACAATTTGTCTGGGGGCAAACACTGACCCGCAAAAATTCATGCTACGGTAACGTGGGGTATTTGTGACACTCTACACATAACTCAGATTAGAAAT